GCAGGAATTGTATAGGAGCTAGACTTGCCCTTCACACTCCTTTACACACACTTCATCCAGACAAGCTCACTGGAAAGTGCTTCTCTCTGAAAAAAGCTACAGGTCTCTAGAGGGCAAACTGGAAAGCAAAGATGTTGGTTCTTTTTAGTAGCTTCTCAGTCTTTTGTCCCTGAAGAGGTGAGGTGGTTTTTTTGGGTTTTTTTTTCACTCTTGGAATGTAATGTGCAGAATAACGTCCTTCCCAAGTTCCCTGGGCTTGTATTTCACCACTCCCAACCTGCGGAAATGTGGCGATATCTTTTTCTAACAAAAGAATGTGTTGGTTTTGAACAGAAGTAACAGATGGAAACTTTTCCTTTCCAAATATTTCTTCTATGTGACTATTGTTCAACTGTTGCTCTTTTCTAACACAGAGAAATTAATTTCCTCAGCCAGGTTACTTTGGGACCAGTCCTGTTGGATCTTGCAAGCTAAGCTGTGTCCACTGTATAGAGAATGCAACAAGTAACTGCCTGAGCCTTGATCAAAGTGTCAGGAAAGCAGCACTGCTTGTTGTATGTAATATAAAAACAAGTTTTTAATGAACAATACCATAACAATTTTAGGAATGGACTTGGGCCTAGACAAATGTCAGCTTAGATCAGTATCTTTAGTATACCGAAGAACACAAGCAGTTTAGTTTATGTGCGACATCCTTCTTCATCCCTTGTGTGGGGTTTCTGAGTATTAATCGCTGAAGTTGTGCAGGTTGGGAAATGCTTCAGTAGCAGATGAAGTAATCTGTGGGTACACCCTGGATTTGGGCTCTTTTCATCCCTTAAGACAATACAGAGTGATCATGTGTTGTCATTTGCTCTTTTATTCTTACCTTTAGGTCTGGGATCGTGTTTCAGCTTCCAGGCAGGAGTGACTGTGCTGGGCTACTACTTTGTACGGTGGCGAACGCTGGCCAATGCCATCGCATCCACTGGTGTCTCTCTCGGCTTTACACTGTGGCCGCTGCTTTCTCAATACTTGCTGGATGAGATGGGCTGGAGAAACACTTTTCTTATCTTTGGAGGAATCCTGTTGAACTGCTGTGTTTGTGGAGCCATCATGAGACCAGTTCAGCTTGCACCCAGGTCGCCACTACAGTCACCCAAGCCTGCAGAGGAGACAGGGAGAAGGGCAGAAGGGGCACAACTGTCCAATGGAGCATCTTCTCCCCACCCCAAGCTCCAGCAGCAAACCAGAAGGACTGCATGCTTCCAGGTGCTGCAGAAGTACCTGGCTTTTGACATCTTCTGTCAAAACAAAGGTTACCAGATTTACACTATTGGAGTGACCTGGATGATGATGGGGTTTGCTTTACCTCATGTTTACCTTGTGCCTTATGCCATCAAGAACGGAGTGGAGGAACGCAGGGCAGCCCTCCTCATCTCTGTTATCGGTTTCATCAACATCTTCATACGCCCTTTTACAGGGCTGCTCTCAGGCCACAGAGTCTTCACAGGGAGACGCATCTACCTGTTCAGCCTGGCTGCGCTCCTCTGCGGGCTGAGCAACTTCATTTGTGTCATTTCGGCTGAGTTCAGTGTGCTCATCATCTACTGCGTCATCCTCAGCATAGCTATGAGTGGCATTGGGGCACTCACCTTCCAGGTGCTGATGGATGTGGTGGAGATGGACAGGTTCTCAAGTGCTCTCGGACTCTTCACCATCCTGGAGAGTGTCACACTCCTCATCGGACCCCCTCTCACAGGTGAGAGAAGGTGGGGGGAAAATTGGTTGTTCAGAGGCTGGTGACAAATAAATGAGGGAGTTTCCAAACCCATGCAAGCAGGCAAGTTATGCAGAGGGAGCAATATAAAAGGGAGAGTCAGAAAGGAACAATCAGCCCCTTCTGACAGCTGAAGAAGGGTCATTTCTGCAGCTGCCCAAGTGTCACTGCAGCAACAGCAGACAGTGGAAAAGTTATGCACTTGGTAGGGAGCTTTTATAGGCTTGGGAGTGAGGAGAGGTTTTTGTCCAGTAAGTGGCAAGACACAGAGAGGAATTACTGTGGTAGAATCTCGCTGTCTATGTCATTTCACTCCTTTGCTAGTTTGAATTGTTTTATCTTTGAGGTCTCAAGGAACTGTGAACATCCCATTAAACAAATTAACCGTAATCAGAATTATTACCAGCTCTGCATTATTCAAAAGCCTTATGGTAAAAGCTTCTGTCCACTCTTCTTTCCGAGTTGTTTCCAGAGAACATTCATTTTTCTCAGGAGACAAGAAAGAAGTGAGCAACATCCCCAAATCCAATAAATTATTCACAGATTTCACAGTTCACTCCAAATGCCACTAAGTGACCTGTCCAAGATGCACCTGCTCCTACAGCACAGCAGCATGTTCAGAAGACTGACAACAGAAAGTCTGCTCTAAGAATGGGATGGTAACATGCACCATTTTTCATAGCATTCCCTGGCATTAGTGTGTCAGTCACTTTTCTCAAAGTGCAAAAAAGGTCTTTTCTTGGACACCTCTGATAGGAGCAGCAGACGAGCAAAATAAAGTTCAGTAAAAGCAGCTCCATTTACATTTGTAATACTGAAGTCTGCTAAAGAAAAGTGCACTGTGAAAAGAAACATTGCCAATCTTTACTGAAGAATACAAGCGAACAAACATTATTGCAGTATTTCCATATATATAAGCAGCCTATAGAGAAGGCTGAGTATTGCCTTTCTATCTCTAACATTAGTGTTAAATTACTCATTTGATACTTCACACTTCAAGGTGTTTTATATTCAGGGCACTTAATGTTAGTCATGCTGCTTGCTGTGCTGTGAATTTTCCTCTCCCTGATTACACACTATTACAGCCCAATTTTCAATTTAGAGACCCAAACATGTTGATTTTTGAGAGATTTCTCTATTTATTTTTTCTGTTTTCTGACTCGGAATGTAACAGGGTCACTCATTACAAAATCCAGTGAGTGGCAATGGCACAGTGACCCTCTGCTGAGTAAACAAAACTTATCAGTAAGTTGGGGAAAAGTTACCATTTCCTTTCTTCCCTGATTTTTCAGTATATTGAGAAATACTTTATACAGAAGCAGAAACATTGCCTGAGTAGTGACTACCAAAAAAGCCCCAAGCAATCAACCTTTAGAATCTAGAAAAGAGAATTTAACTCATCTTTGAATGTTTATCTTTTCTATATGGCAGTTTGCTAAATGATTTAGGTTTAACATTTATGTAAATATCACCTGGTTGTCTTTAGTATGCATCTTCTATTCAAGTAAACTGTGGCTTCTATTTCAGGTCTCCTGGTGGACATAACTGGCGATTTCCACTATGTCTTCTACAACTCCAGTTTCTTCCTGATATCAGCTGCATTATTCATGGGAATCAGCTTCTGGACTCTGGAAAAGAAAAACAAATCGAAAGAGGCTTCGAAAGTAGCTTTGGATAATCCCCCCAGACATCAGTACAATGAAATACCAACTGAACCACAGTCTGAAAGTCTGTCCCCTCCAGCAGTTGTGCACATCACAAGCATATGAAAAGAAATCAAATAATAATAATTTTAAAGAAGAGAGGAACATAAACAATTGTGTGGCCTGTACAAAGCTACACAAGGGCCAGCACTGATGGCAGATGAGAAATCAAGCATTCTGCTTTCCACAACTGCCATCAGCCCTGCGCTCCCACTCTGTGGGGCTGTGCCAGGCTCCACGTGAGCGATCTGGATCACAGGCTGAGCCCAGAGCCCAGCGCCAGCCAAAGAGCCGAGGGACAGAGAACTGTGCTTTCCTAAAGCAAGCGATGGGATAACAGCCATGGTAACCAGCACCAAGGGACAAACACTGTGTCAATTCAATTGGGTTAAGTCAGCACCTTGAAGTCACTGGAATTTCAGATGCACACCTCAGTCAGTAGCACTGGACAACATGTATTATGCACAAGGGTAGCTCTTCCACAGAAAACTATTATTGCCTAATCTGAACATGCAATTTTGGTGCAGGCTTATAGTGAAGTTTCCTGGTTGCTTCCCATGTTGGGGGTGGCAAGACAAATGCTTTCCACAGGAAGTGTGGTATTATTTTCCACATCTCTAAATATTATATGGGGAGTGTTGCATGGGCTGCAGAACTCAGCCAAGTCTCTAGTAAGATCAAATATTTTCTCCTACAAGGGATATGTATGAGTTCTTCATGCCAAGGACATTTTCAAAGCCTCAAAAAGGAAAAAAACTCAGACATTAGAGTGCCTTCTTTGTATAACTGGTGATAGCTCAGCTGCTTCTTGATACATCATAAAACAGGATTCATGGCCTGTGTAAACACGCTTCTTTCCAGCATTTACTGGGACCTTTTTTCTTTTTTTTTTTTTCTTCAAGTTGGAGGGTTAGGCAAGGCGTTACTAGACCTGAGAATAAGTGTATTATTAGGGCTAATTCAAATCCACTGTAGTTCCTCCTTGTGTAAATGAATTTAGCTCCTTAGTCTTAAACTCTCAGGCTTAACTACACCAGCATTCTCATTATAGAGAAGTGCACACAAGGATAACTTGCATTTCTTGTAAGCACAACCGTAACTTACAAAGAAATCTGTGGGGAAAAGTATACTGGGAAGAGTCAGAGTTACTGACTTCTATATCCATACAGACTTAAATGGCTTTTCTTACTATGCTCCTGGGAGTTACACTAGTGAGTACTTAGATGAGAGCCACATCAACCTCCAGCCTCCCTCAGCATCAGCTCGAACTGTTTGTGTTCTGTATCACTCCTGATCTGACAGAAGCAGAGCACTCACAAAGCACTGGAGATGAAGATTACTCAGCACATTAGCACTTCAGAGAGATGGAAGCATAAAATGGGAGCGAAATAGAAGCAGCAGCAGCTTTCAACTCAACTGCAGTGCTTATCTTGAGAACTGCTATATCAAACTCCCAGCTACAAAGCCACAGTTTTCATTAGAGCTGTTGGCTCCCCAAACAAAACAAACCAGCCAAAAAAACCCCACACTGGATGAAACCACTGGAAAATTGACTCTGAGGTCTTCCATGACTACAATGGCTGCACACCTGGCTTTTACTGTGGAAGAGGCATCAGCCCTTCAGAAGGGTCCCTGCTCCCACCACCCATCTATATTTCAGTTCTGTTCTAGCATTAGTGAGCCAGTAGGCTTTGCATTTCCTGACCAAACATGTACTTAAATAAGATGACTAGTGAGAAACATACATATCTAATCTCTCATCACACGTGCTTATTAACTTGTGCAATGCCTACATGGTCTGTAACTACGAAATAAACAAGAACCAGTGCTCCTCAGCTTACCAAAAAAATGACTGCTGTATGTTCCTAGGAAAATTATGGGACTTTCCCCCTCTCAGAAAAAAGCCCAGCAAACAATGAAAAGAGATCAAGTCTCAAACCTCTTCAAGCTACTACAAATAAAACAGCTAAGCAGCTGAACAGATTGCCATTTTTTCTGTGTGCAATTCTTGAATTTTAAATTCTGCTCACCTTTCTACATTCCCTTTCTGTTTTCTTCCAGAAATACGGGGACATACTGTCCCAAATCCTTCCACTGCTGCAAACTTCCAGGGCAAAACAGGCAAGATATGGTGTGAGCTACAACCATCAAAATTTACCACAAGAAAATAAAGATTAGCTGAAGAAGCAGTAAAATGCATCTCCTTTGTGGAGTCAACTGCCTTGCCTGCAATGATTTAGCTCTAGATGGCTCATGAGCAAGCAAATGTACAGTCTTGCTTGCATGATATGGAGGGAAGAGGGGAGAAGGTAATCACCAACTGGAGCTGACAAATATCACCATGGACAAGAAATCTCAGTTTTGACTATTTCTTATCTGGGCACAGATAATTTAGGACAGAAAGTTAGGAGAGTGCTTTATAGATCTGCTTTTTGATGCTCCCAGACTCAACATCAGGGTCACCGGGGCACATTTGCAGAGGCAGAGAGATGCTTCTGGGAAGAAAAATAATGAATTCACAAATCCATTATTTTAATGTTTCTCAGCTTCTTGACTAAAAAGTTTCTAACAGCCTTACAGAATTTAAGCTGCCTTAAAACTCTCTTACGTCTCTTTTCAACCTGAACTGCAAGTTGCCTTGAGCAGGAGCTGTGTAAGGCGCAACTGAAGGGACCACACACACCGAGTATGCTATAGCACAATAAATCCCCCTCCAGAGCTGTCCTAAAGGAGCAGCGCTACTCAGTCCTTAAGAATCTTGAGGCCCAGAAGAAAAATAAAGCAATAAAAGCTCCTTTCATTAGTTTAAGGTCGTCCCATTATGCAAGGCAACCACAGCTCAATTACCACCACCCCCTACAGCAACTGCTTTTTTCAACACCTCCAGACAGCAAAATAACCCTGGCTTTAATTACAGACAAACACTGATACCTCAGCCAGGTTACAAACCTCTGAAACCAGCAGAGCAAGAAAAGTTGACCAGAAATAAACACCCTTAACTCCTCTGGTCCCCTCTCACCCCTTCCTGCTCCCTTTATCATTTAAAGTATCATTAACCTTGCAGGGCAAGCATTTTTGAAACAAGCACATTTCCTTACTGCAATGAAACATTCACCAGGAAGTTCACACTGAAATATTGCAAGATCGTGATCCTTAAAAGCCTTAAATACCCTGTCAGTTTAATTCTCGGAAAAGCTTAATTAAAAAAAACACAGAAACTTACTGTATTATTTTTTAAGTTTTTGAGTTATGTTTTGTTATATATTGTGATATTTATTTCATTTTCCTTTTTAGATTTTTTTTTTCTGTTCTATGAGTTTTTTTGTGATCCTGCTTGACTAATCTTATCTCCTTTTCTGATGAGGTGACCTGCTTGGTGGATGAAGAGAAGACTGTGGATGTTGTCCACCTGGACTTCAGTAAGGCCTAAGACACCATCTCCCTCAGCATCCTCCTGGAGAAGCTGCTGGGCATGGCTTGGACGGGCACACGCCTTGCTGGGTTAAAAACTGGCTGGATGGCCGAGCACAGAGAGTTGTGGTGAATGGAGCTCAATCCAGTTGTGACCAGTCACAAGCGGTGTTCCCCAAGGCTTGGTTTTGAGGCCAGTCCTGTTTAACATCTTTATCAATGATCTGGATGTGGGGATTGAGTGCTCCCTCAGCAAGTTTGCACTAAGTTGGGAGGGAGTGTTGATCTGCCTGAGGGTAGGAAGGCTCTGCAGAGGGACCTGGATAGGCTGAATCAATGGTTTGAGGCCAACTGTATGAGCTCCAACAAGGTCAAGTGCCGGGTCCTGCACTTTGGTCACAATGACCCCATGCAGCGCTACAGGCTTGGGGACGAGTGGCTGGAGCTGCCAGGCAGAAAAGGACCTGTGAGCCAGCAATGTGCCCTTGCAGCCAAGAAGGCCAATGCCATCCTGGGGTGTATCAGAAGGGGGTGGTTGTAGGTCGAGAGAGGTTCTCCTTCCCCTCTACTGTGCCCTGGTGAGACTACATTTGGAATATTGTGTTCAGTTCTGGGCCCTCAGTTCAAGAAGGACAGGGAATTGCTTGAAAGAGTCCAGCGCAGAGCCACAAAGATGATGAGGGAGTGGAGTGCTCCTCCTTCTGAGGAGCAGCTGAGGGAGCTGGGTCTCTTTAGTTTGCAGAAGAGGAGACTGTGGGGTGACCTCATTAATGTTTATGAATTTGTAAAGGGCGAGTGTCAGGAGGAAGGAGCCAGGCTCTTCTCAGTGACAGTCAATGACAGGACAAGGGGCAATGGGTGCAAGCTGGAACATAGGAGGTTCAACCTGAACATGAGGAAAAACTTTTTCACTGTAAGAGTGACAGAGCCCTGGCCCAGGCTGCCCAGAGAGGTTGTGGAGTCTCCTTCTCCAGAGACATTCAAAACCCACCTGGACGCGTTCCTGTGTGGCCTGGTCTGGGTGATCCTGCTCTGACAGGGGTTGGACTGGATGATCTTTTGAGGTCCCTTCCAACTCCTAATAGTCTGTAATTCTGTTATTTATTGTTTTATTGTGATTTTAAAATATTTTTTGTACTGTAGTTTTTTATTGTTTTATTTTTTATTCAATGTGAGGTTTTGGGTTCATTGGTGTGCTAATCCTAATCGTAACCCTAATCCTAATCTCAATCTCAATCCTAACCCCAATCCCTAGCCCTATTCTAATCTCAATCTCAGTCCTAGTCCTGATCCTAATCTCTATCCCGATGTGTAATACTAATCTGAAACCTATTTCTAATCATGTTTTAATTGATTTAACTTTGGTTTTTGTTTTAATATTTGTTTGGTGATTTGTGTGGAATGGTGTTTGTGGTTGAGAAAATTTTGCCTGATTTGCATATTCAATTACCTAATTTGTATAATTAGGTATTATTAGTGAATAATTAGGGATGGGGTAGTGTGTACAGGGGTAATGGGTGTATATGTGGGTTAGTAGTGTTTATAGAGTAGTAGGAGTATGAAAAGATAAAAATCAAAATTAATAAGTCTGGTGCAGCAGTAGAAATCCACTTGCTTCCCAGGAGTAATTTATTTTTATTTTTTTAATTTTATTT